GGGGCCCTCCCCCCGTGTCCACGCGAAGCCCATGGAGCAGCCCTGGAGGGAATCTCTCGGCCCCCGCCCCCCCCCGGAAAGAAGGACAGCGGCCTGCCCCCCCCGCCCCCCCTGCACAGGGGGAGGTGGGCCTTGGGAACTGACCTCTGGGTCCCTCCGGGCAGGTCTTGGCGCCGGTGGTGGAGAGCCATCCTTTCCCGCTGCACGTGGAGTTCGTCAACCCCCTGCCCCGGCCGGTGGGCGGCTGCGGCTTGCTCGTGGAAGGCGGCGGGCTGGTGAAGGGCCAGGCCTCGATCGAGTGAGTAGGGGGCCCTCTCCCTCCCAGTGGGTGCGGGGTGTGTGTGTGTGTGTGGCTTCTCCCTCTCTGCCCCCCCTCACCCTCCCGGCAGAGCGAATGGCCCCCGTTCTCCCGGGAGTGCAGGCGGGGAAAGGGGGGGGCCTCCCTGCAGCTTTGGAGCTGTTGCCGCCGGGTTGCCAACCTCCAGGTGGGGGCTGGCGATCTCCTGGGATTGCAAGTGATCTCCCAGCCACAGGGAGGGGTCTGGGGTCAACACAGGAGCCCAGTTGACGGGAGCTCTCCCTGGGCCAGCACAGCCGGATGCCGAGGGTGCCTGTATGCAAAGGCATGCGGTGGGGGGGGGGCACATCACTTGAGGACTCTAGTCTGGGAGAGCCGGGTTCGATTCCCCACTCCTCCTCATGCAGCCAGCTGGGTGGCCCTGGGTCGGTCAGTCGCAGTTCTCTCAGAGCTCTCTCAGCCCACCGTAAGCCTAGCTCGCCACCAAAGACCTAGAGCATCTGGCTGCCAGACAATCCTAGGATCTCCTGGCTGTACCACACACACTGCCATACGATGATGATGATGATGATGATTATAAAGGGGGGGTGGCATTTCAGAGGGAGGGGGTCATCCAGCCCAGCCTAAACGCCTGTCCTCAAGCAGCTTTCAGAGATCAATAAGAACGCCCCCCCCCCCTTTTTTAAAGCCCCCCCTGAAAAAAAAAA